AGAGGAAGAAATGTGAGTTGAAGGCTCTCTAGATTTGTATGAGAAAAGATTTCAGGATATAACCTCTTATGGAGCTAAAAATATTCTTCTAATGTAAAAGGATGTATGTATGTTTCTGATAGGCCAAGTTATGGACAAATAAGAGCTTTCAATTTTTCTAAAATATTTATGAAGATTAATTTTATGTGTTTATATACTGGTGTGTGTATGACTTCTATAACATATGTAAATATATAAAAATATATATATGCATAAAAATGCATGTGTATATATACATATGATATATTTATTTAGGAATATAAACACATAAAGTTGCACACTCAGACACCAGAAATAAGTGATTTAAGGCTTTATCTAAGACCCTGCTTTAGAAGATAAGCCCTCAGGGAAGAAAGAAGGTATGTTCTGCTCTTCCCATAGAGTCTGGGGTCTTTTGCTCTGCTTGCAGAGCCTTTCTGATGCCAACAGCATTACGTGGGTTCTCTTCTGTTAAGCTGGTATCAAGAAAAGCAGACTCAGGGGAACCAATTGTATTAGTTTAGGCTAATTCTGCTATAGCAACATCTTGAGCACTGCTGATGAAAACTAAGAAGATTAAAGTCCACATAATCTGGGGATCTTTATGTAAGTGAAGTTCAAATTACCATAAGCTCTTCAAATCATTGATCTGAGGATCAGTAAGAAGGGAAGAATAACTTAAATGAGCTCAAGTTGCAAATCCTTATCTTTGGGTCCTCTTTTTTTCTTTTTCTTTCCCTTTTTTTGTCCTTTTTTTTTTTTTTTAGTCTCTTTTTTTTCCAGTAGAATATTTAAAAAATTCTTTGACATAAGAACATTGCTTTTGTTCTACCTTCTTAGTGGGAAGAAGCTTTCAAAAGAGCTGCACAACTGTGTCTCAATTAATATGCAGTTGCATTAGATTTATAGAGGCTGTTAGAATCCTAAAAGTCACTGATTGATTATTGTAATGCTATCATACCGTTTCAATAAAGACTGCTTTTGAAATAGAAATCTGTCTTAATGGCACTACCATTTTACTAAATGTGGGTATTGTAGCTTCTGGATTTTTTATCAATTAGAAATGAGGGTGACTGGTGACAGGGTCCCAGGGAATGACCTGAAGCTGTTTCAGATGAGGTTTAGGTTGGATATTAGAAAAAGGTTCTTCATCCAGAGGGTGGTTGGGCACTGGAACAGGCTCCCCAGCGAAGCAGTCACGCCTGACACAGTTTGGACAATACTCTCGGGCACATGGTGTGACTCTTGGGGATGGTCCTGTGCAGGGCCAGGAGTTGGACTCAGTGATCCAACTCAGCATATTCTGTGATTCTGTGATAGCCATGCTTAAAGATTTGAGGTGGCGTCTACATAGGATGGTACTTCAGTGTACATCTGCACCACTAACATCCTCCAGAATGGAGTGGTTCCATCCAATTTTCCTGCAGAGACAACTAAACCATACCATGGAATCATTTGAAAGAGCGAGGGTTGGCTCAAATTATTTCAGAAGTGTTTTGAAACTGACTGACTTTCAGTACCCAGGAACGTTTTCAAGTTAACTTTTATTAAAGTAGGAACATAGCCTAAGTGTATGTCAGACAAATTTATAGCTCAGACAGGAGCCACATATTTAAAAGTGACAAAATCGCTTTTCTGAAATATTGTACATTGATAATATTATAGAATTAAATGAAATACGTGATCTTTAGTCATTAAAATGGACCTCTTGAGGCTTTTTATCAACAATTTGTCACTGATAACATTTGCATCTGAAATGTTTTTATTACAATAAATACATATTTAGAAGGTGGAGGGGACTTGCCCATCTATAAGGAGATTCTGCACTACCAGTCGAAGAACCAGCTCCTTCTCCAACTTCAGAGGTTAAGAGGTGTTTTACTGATAAAGTAAAACTTCTAATTTACTAAAGACTTCTTTCCCCCCTGCTGAATCTCTGCTGCTTCATTGAGATGAATTGCAGTGGATTACTCTAATAATCTTGTAACAGACCACCTGGACATTGTTAATAACGAACTTAATGAAAGATCAGTTCTGAAATGTATTTAAAATGAGCTTTTCTTTCTGCAGCAAGTAGGATGAGTTGTATCAGACTGTGAAGAGGTTTTCTGTCACAGATCAGTTAAATACCTCTGAACTATCAGAAAGGATTACATTGTCTGAATTCTCATTATATACCAACTTGAGTCACTATTTTTCAGTAGCAATTGAGTTAAACTCTTATATGACTATGAGTGGTAATGTGTTATTATGGTGCTTTTCATACTTTAGTACAAGATCCTGTATTTGAAAAAGCTAGTAAATTAATGTGTTGAGTGGTGTGATGTCAACATAAAGTTCACCAAAATAATTGAAGATTTTTTTTTTTTATTTAAAATTCAGAATACTTGTATCTCTGGTGCATCTATAGCTTATACATAAACACTTTATCTCTTCCATATAAGAGAGGAGGATAGTATAGATTTCCTTGTCACTGGTCAGCATGGTATGGCTGGTGATACCAGGTTCTTCTTCCTGATAATGTGCAGTAAAAGACTCCTGGGTGGCAATAGGTCTTAAATCGATCCTTTCTCAGTGCCAGGATGTTACCCTTTTAGGATGCCTTTAGAGGAGCATGAGGAAGGTGAAACTTCAGTGAGACTTGCAAAATGAACGTGTAGAATATTCTAAGGACTAAATCTGTAGGTCAGGGGAAAAAAAAGGCCTTTTTTTTTCACTTTACTTAATTTCTATAATGTACTTTCCTGGCTACATAAACCTTACTCAAGGGTAGATTCCAGTAATTTGAATATGGCTTCTTTTATGAGCCCTTAAAAGTGGCCTATGTTATGAAACTTCAGTTTTATAAGTTGTTTTTCCTTTGCATTTATACCTGAGTCTTCTTTAATAAAGGCTGTGAAAAAGCAGTGGCTTAATATCCTTCAATCAAAAGCAACTTACTATGCATCTCAGATTATTGTTTTAAAGGATACAAAATATTCTACCAAAAGTTGTTTCAATGCATTTAAAAATTAAAGCAGACTAATGTTGTTATTTTATGAGAGTCTTGAAAAGCCTGGATTAAAAAAAATTTTAGTTCTGTTGGCCAGCATTAGTATTTGTTCATATATGTGGTCCCTGTGGTACATTGCTTGATATAACATGTTCTCTTTACTGCATATTACATAACTTGAAAAATATGAAAATGACCCATCCTTAACAGATAGTTCTAGTATTCTAATTCCCAAATTTTTTTTTTTGTATGGCATTGGGAGTTGCTTGTCTTAAGAAAATTAATCCATTTTTGTACGTGGATCCTATAAAAACAAAGCTCACTAAGGAAAATTTAACGTGAAAAATATTCTTTGTCCTTCCACATTAAGGTGGAATCAGTTTTGTGTTGCATGAAAATTCAAATGGAACAGAAAATTGGAACCATCCATTAAATGAATAAAAATTGTCATTTTCTTCACCACTTATGCTAACATTTTTAATTGTACTGAATTAATTTAGTATGAACATGGGTGTCATGCATTGCTATTACCACACTTTATAATTTAGTAGTAATTATATACTACTATTGCACAGTGAGGCCACATTCTCAGATTTATTGTCCGTTCAGATTTGTCCTTTTTCCACTGCTGGTCAGAGAGCCAAATAGGTGCAGCACTGAAGTTGTGAATGCTTTCATACCAGAAAAATCCATGCTGTTTTTAGTTCCATTCTCTTCCACCAAAATGTCAAGCAACCTCTATTTTTCTACTATTAAACTTTGGGCTGATTGTGGCTGATAGAATCTCTGACCTCTAGATCATAGAGTCACACAGGTGGGAGGGGAGCTATGCAGGTCTCTCTGTCAAGCTCTTGCTAAAAGCAGGTCCGAATAGAGCAGATTATTTAGGCTTGTTCCAGCATGGTGTGAGTATTTCCAAGGGTGGGTGTCCAATGGCATCTCTGAGCCTCTGTTCCTTTGTTTGACCATCCTCATGGTAAAAAAGAAGTCAGTAAATAAATAAAGTTCTTATATCTAGCCACAGTTTCCTGTATTCTATCTTCTGTCTGTTGCCTTTCATCCTATTACTGTGCATCCCTAAGAATAGCCTGGCTCCATAATTTTTGAACCCTCCCAGTGGAAATGCTGCTCTGGTCAGCAATGAGATTCACTTCTCCTCTTTGGAAGAGTGAGCAAAGCTGACTCTTTCAGCCTCTCCTCATTTATTGTGCACTCCAGCCCCCCTCACCATCTTCTTGGTGTTTGCTGCACTTTCAGTGTCATGGGAAAGTCTTGTAGATAACTTGCTCTGATATTAAAGAAAGGGAGTGTGTATGCAGCAAAATAATTGTCTTTCATTACCTCCAAAATCCATCAAAATATTCCTGAATCTTTCTGTGCCTTTAACGGATTCTCAACCACAACTTAATATTTTATTTCATGTTCTGCTTATATAGCTTTGGTAATAACTGAACTTCAGAGTGAGTACAGATTAGTTAAATTTCAAATTCCATTTTATACAGTGGCAGATTCATCTTAAGTCACTGGGTCAGCCCAGAAGGGAGTATTTTTTTTTGCAGTTTTGTGTTCTTTATGAGTTCTAAGTCAAAGCATATGGAAGAATGTGATTTTATTTAGTTTTTGAAAGTGCATGAGAGATTCATTGTTTCATGAAGCTGAACTGAAATAAAATAGGCCCATAGCAGTTTTACCCATCGGATATTTTGTTTTAAGAAAATGGGTTTTTTTTGAAGGGCATGAGATAGAGCATGGTTTCAATTCCTCTAGAATATGGTACATTTATAAATGCATATTTTATTGCTAACACCATATGGCTATATGTATATTATAAAGGCCGTTCATGCTAGCAGGCTCCAAAAGTGAATGTGTTATGTGTCTTTAAACTCAAAGGAACTAACCTCCCCAAATTATTAAGTTTTTTGGGTTTTTTTTTTTGTTTGTTTGTTTTTTTTCATATTTTAGTGTTGATCTTTCTGTTTTCTCTTTTAAGGAATCTGTCTCTGAAGCTGTCAAAGGAGGTAGACCAAGGAGAAGCCAGGTACCCTCGTGTTAGCCAGCTGGCTGGCAGCCCATCCGTGGAGTGGCCTTTCACCGGTCTAGAAGAAGGCGGAGGCATTGAGTCTTTACCCTTCAGGTTGATGCTACAAGACTGCACAGCTGTAAAGACATTGCTTCTGAAAATGAAGAGGGTTCTTCAAGAGGTAATCACCCACTTATTTGTTAGATTAATATCTTTCAGCATTAATGAGGTAAGCAGCAGAAAAGGGTCAGTAAAGTTTATGACTTTATACCTTTTAATATGTCTTCAATATATGGAATTGATGCAGAAGTATAAATAGTTGTGCCTCAACATGGTGCAGGTCAAAAAGTTTATGTTATAACAGAATGTAATGGATACTGCCATCTTGGCTTCTAAAGTGTAAAACTTCTCTTGAGCTGCAAAAAGGAGGCAAGGGAGACCAACTGTATAAGATAAAAATATGTTGTATGGTTTTCTTCCAGTATTTTAGGACTTTTCAATTTTCTTACTACATTTGTTAACCATTACGAAGTCACATGCAATTCATTTAGAGGAGCGATGAAGAAAAAAAAAATCTCTTAACTAAAAGTACTATAAGTTTACCAGCTTGAGTTTGTAAATGATGTCTGAAATCAGATTTTGTAGGCCATTCCTAACAATTTTGCAAGAGTCCCGTCTTGTCCTGTCCTGCCATTTTCTTCTACTTCCCCTATGGGCTGCTGGTGTTGCTTTAAACATTTTATTTCCCTTTAGAATTTAAGGAAAATCAAATTATTATTGTGTAGGTGGTTTTTTTTTTTTGGTACTTTCCAACTGTGGAGCCTTGACTCAGGTGTATATTACAAACTTTTATCTTCGTGTTTGTGAATTGCAGTGTGTGTTATCTTTGAGATCTACAAGTAGGATAATTTTTTTGTTTGTTTTTTGTCTATATAGTTCATAGAATTACAGAATAATTTAGGTTCAGAGAGCTCTCTGGAGGTCCTCCTCCTATTCTCAAAGCAAGGCCAACTCAGAACAGGTTGCTCAGGTTCTTGCCCACTTAAACTTTTGGTACCTTCAAAGGCGTTTCCATATTGTCTCTGAGTAAACATTCCAGTATTTAGCTACATCACTGTAGTTTTGTTCCCTAAGATGTGAAGAGAATTTCTCTGTTGCAGTCAACTTCATCATATAATAAAGACCAAAAATAAGTTAGAGTTTTTTACTGCTCACGTCTTGGTCATCTGTATCTAAATTCAACCAACTGCTGTTCTGTCTGAAAAGGTTTGTGAACCTTTTATTTGATAAACTATGTTTATCATTTAACCATGATAGTTTTCAGTTAGTCCTCCTAAATCACATGTTTTTGCTGGATGGCAAGCCTCATGTTTTGCAGATTCCTTTGGTTCACTAGAAGCTTCATGTATGCTACTGGGATTCTTAATGCACTTCTGTTTTGCTGAATCCAGAATTGAAGTCATTAGTTCTCCATCAGTTCCTTCTTATATAATGTCAGAATATAGAGTGAATTTTAAGGGATTTATAACCTCATTTTATCTGGAAAGAAATAATAAGAATTATGATACTACATGCCATAGCAGTTGTAACATTCAGGTGGTAACATTGGCAGAGTTCACTGTTGCTTCTAGTGTGAATAATTCTGTTACACTCAGAAAAGTTCTTTCTTACCATGATGGTAAGTGTAAGAATTTTCATTTTAACTTACCAAGTTCCACTAAGCTCGTCTAAGTATCTACTGTTGTTTTCTATATGGAAATATGTTGTACCTTATACTACCTTATCTTTAAGAAAATTCACCAGTTGATCTGCACAAAAGAAACATAGGCTATTTCATGCAACTCACTGGAATTTCATGTCCAGTTTACTAATATCTCCTTATGTAACTCACTGATTTTAGTTTGTCATCCTAATCATTCAGTCTTTTGCTTACTTGTTCCTTTGTACCATATAATTTCCATCTACCCATCTGACTGTTACAAAGTGTGCCTCTGTCCTTTACTTTTCTTTTTGTCTTTCTTTATGAAATCAAAATGGCTTTTTTCTAATTCCAGATTAGATGTGCTGGAATTTAACTCCCTGTTTATCAGCACCTTTGAGATATATTATCTTGATAGAATTACACATTTTCTTAGCTATATACTAGAAAAACTTCTTACTTGACCAGAATGTAATCACCAATCTGCTGATTATTGAAACTTTTGTTAGCTTGAGTTGTTATTTCTATTTTAGTTTTCAACTAATGCCTTGTGTAATATCAGTGGTAGAAAAGTTATGAAGAATGCTGGAAAATGTTATGGGAGTGTACTTCTTGGTATCCCCACATGAGAAATAGTAGTTGTTATGTAGTGCAGTATTTCAGCTCTACTGATATAAATACACATACTGATTATTGAAACAAATAATTACTTTTGAAGGTTTGCACAGTTTTGTAGTTTACAAAGCCATCCACTATGCAGTAGGTGTTATCCATAGTATAATTGCAGAAGAGTGAAAGAACTGTAACACAATATTCACAGTCTTTAAAATACATTTAATATTAAGAATTAAGCAAACCCAGAATATGATTCAAAAGACCATGAGTAACTAGCTTGAACAACCAAAGAAAAGATGACCTTGAAATATATTAGAAGTTTTTATTGAAATGACACAACTTGATTATCTTCAGAAATACAGACATTTATACATTTGTCACTTTTAAATTATTAGTGAAAGATTACAGGAAAATATAATCCCATCAAATTGAAATATCGTATTGAAGAATCTGATAAAAAGTCATCTGACCATATTTAGCGAACAGTTTCCATGGAGAAGATACCCTACTTCCATTGCAACTAGATGTAATTTCTTCATCCAGAAATCACTTTTGCCCCAACCAATATTATAAATCAAACTCACAACAGTGCAGAACAAAAGACATAAAGGAAAAATTCTTTCCTTACAATGGAACGCTCAAATATTTTTAGATGTAGTGAAACATAGTCTCTTGCAGGCCTATATGGTATAGAAGTGGTATATTTTATTTAAAAGTATAAAGTAAGATTATTTATTTTTAAAAATAAGGATATGTCATGTTTTCATCCACTTAAAAAATATACAAAGCATACAAACTACACGGGGAAAATTACGTGGGTTACCGGAAAAAAACTGCAGTATTTCTGTTTTAGAGCTGATATTACCTCTAGAAGAAGGAATTACAGTAGTGTACACCTCTTTGTTGAAAAATAACATGCTAATTGAGTTAAAATATTAGCCCTATTATTCAATAAAATCCCTCTTCTAAAGCACTTGAACAGTGCTTCTAAGGAATAATTTAATTATGATCTGCCAAAATGTAATATTAGCTAGTAAAATATGCCTTTTTTTGTTGCAGTTGCTTGTAATTGAAGAATCTAAATGGAAAAACTGCATACAATGTATGCTGTACTGTGCTGCAGATTTATAAAGCAGTGAGTTAGCTTGTTATTAGTCTTATCTTGAAAATGGAAATTGAAGACATGGCAGTAACTTGCAAGATTGAGAATGTTATTTAGTAAAAGGCTAATGAATGATTGTTCAATTAAGAGAATTAATTACCTTTTCAGTTTCGATGAAAAAACCTTGAAAATGTCTTCTAATAATTCTTTATAGTTTTGGCCGTTCAAGTCTCATAAGGCAGATTGTCCTCCAGTGTTTTGAAAACCTCATCGAACAAACCTGAAGGTAGTCTGGAGGACCCTGGCAAGTGAGGAAAGTAGGCGATCCACCAGGCGGTCCCGAAAATATCTCTGAATACCTTTGGCAGGTTTTTCTCACGGCAGTTCCATTTCTAGCAGATAGATCTACCATAATGGCATAACAAAGGCTTGTGGGCTGCATCATTTCATGAAAAAGTATTACCAGAGATTAGCATTATGGGCAGCTTGATAAAAGCCACTTCAACATAGAGGACAATACAAGCTGTCATGTAGCCTGCCTGTGATTTACAAGTAGTTCCTGGTGTCCCTTTTCTCTCCAGCGCTCTGATGTTTATGGAATTGTTTGGTTTTTTGGTTTGGAATTTTTTCCCCTCAAAGTCTACTCAGTGTCGACCTTTTTGTCAGTAATGACTTCTCTCATTTAAAAGAAAAAAGGGAAAAAAATACTGAGTTGGATGGATGAAATTGGTAGGTTTGCCCACTCCTAAGAAATGGATTCTCTACTTTCTGACTTAAGACAGGCCTTTCTGTTCTGAACAGCTCTTAATCTCTGCCACTTTTTCTCCCCCATACGTTTTATTACATTTCTAGCACCTAATTGATTGTGTATAGCCAGTGAGCTTCTGAAAACTAGACCACAGGTTCTTTCTGACTTACTGCTATGAACAATAATGAATATATAATGCCTCTTAACCAAACAATGTATGGGCTTTGCTGTATTCTTCCAGATGAGAATGAAATTATTTCCATCTAACAACTTTTTTATGGCTTGACCCATCGCTAGCTTAGGCAGTGTTGAAGTCTGAGAGGACATTTAAGGGCTTTGCCTTTTCCGAAATCATTGGTAGAACATTTCAGGTAGAGACATGTGAGTGAAACTTGTACAGTTTTCCATTTTGTGTTTAGCAAAAGAAGGTCTTTATGCTGAAATAAACAGTGGAAAAATACAGTTTGTATTGGGAAGGAATCCTTTTAGTCATTCATAATGGATTTTTGTTTAAACTTGAGATGTTGAGCTTGTTGTTTAGTTTTATGGAATGCTCTAATAAAAAAGAAAATCTTTCGTCTTGTTTCTGCAGGTCATATTTTCCCCATATTCTTTATGAAATAGTTTATCAACTACATAGTTCTGCTTTTGGATGTTTTTATGGGGCTATCAGAAATGACCTTACTGGTTGCTAATCTAAAAAATTAAGATACCTTGTCTATATGTTTCTGTAATTTGGAATATAAATTATTCAGTTCATACCCATGCTTTTTTTGGAGCTCTGCAAAACGCCATGCAGGCTGTAGATCTTTAGCTAATTCCTACAATTAACAATAGGAATAAGTCACTTTGGACATACATTGCATACTGTGTTTTACTAATTAATCATTTATTTTACTGAGGGAAATTGCAGCTGTCTGTGACTGTCATTAAAACTTAATGGGTCCAATACAATGTCTTTAGATTACACTTGGAAAAAAGAAAAAAAAGAGAAATGTGGAAAATGAGGTTAAAATT